TGGAGAGATGGAGCAGCTGGGGACTTTAGACATAGAGAGGGAGAGGGGTTGTGTGCTGACAACGGGGGTAGGGGGGAGTCAGGCTTGTAGTGTATACCCTTTGGTTGTTTGATGATGCATGGAGTGGATTGTAACCATGGCAATGAAACGATATAGGATAGGATGAATGTAAAAGTAATGTTCTCCCATGTAAACTATCACATAATTCACAATAAAACATCAAAAAAAAAAAAAGTTGCATTGATCATTACTGGTGATTGGAATGCAAAGGTTGGGAGCAAAGAGGAAGGATCAGTAGTTGGAAAATATGGCCTTGGTGATAGAAATTTCTTTGTGTAGATATACTATAATTCATTTAACCATTCCTCTACTGATTTTTGACAGAAATATCAGTGTAATTCAATGGGAAAGAATAGTCGTTTCAACAAATGGTACTGAAACGGTGTGTGGGGAGAAAACCTTGATCCCTACCTCACACCATACCAAAATTTTGAACAAATGTATGTATGAGCTAAAACAACAAAATATATTTTAAAAAATAGGATAAAATCTTCATAACTGTAGGATAGGCAAAGTTTTCTTAGCTAAGACACAGAAAGTGATAACTTTGAGGGGAAAAAAATGGATAAACTGAACTTCAACAAAAGTTTAAACTCTGTTCATCAAAAATTATTGTTAAGAAAATTAAAAGACAAACCAGAATCTAGGAGAAAATATTTGACATATCTAGAATACACAAAGACTCAGACTTCAATAGTAAAACAAACAATTAAAAAAGAGGGAAAATATCTGGACAGACACCATCAAAGAAAATGTACAGATATCAAATAAACTCACGGAAATGTACATCTTTACTCACTAACCCACTGCCATCGAGTCGTTTCCAACTCATAGCATCCCTTTAAGATAGAGGAGAATTGGTTTCTGAGGCTCTGCATCTTAACAGAAGCAGACTGCCGTATTGTTCTCCCTCAAAGCAGCTGGTGGGTTCGAACCACCAACCTTTCATCTAGCAGTCTGATGCTTAATGCACTGTGCCACCACAACCCATTTCATTACTCGTTGTTGTTAGGTGCCGTCAAGTCTGTTCTAACCCATAGCGACCCTCACCATAGCTGAAGAGCAGCTGGTGAGTTTGAACCACCAACCTTGCAGTTCAAACCAACCTTGTGGTCCAGTGCATTATCCCACGGTGCTATGCCAGGACTTAAAATCATACACACAAAGAATTAATGAAATCCACAATGAGGTACCATTACACACCCAGTCAAATGGCTAAATTTAAAAACACTGACAATTAAAAAGAAAAGGATGGATGATACCAACTGCTGACAAGGGTGTGAAGTAACTGGAGTATGCATCCATTCACGATAGGAATATAAAGTGGCACAACGCCTTATTTTAAAAAAGTTTGGCAGTTTTTAAGAGTTAAGTAGAGAGTTACCATATGACCCAGCAATCCCACTCCTATATACTTATTTGAGAGAAACGAAAACATATATCCACACAAAGACTTGTATACAAAAGTTCATGAAATGACTTACTGCAATTGTACCTATAAAGGTAGAGGTTTTGTAGTGAAAAGAGGTGAGTGGTTGATTTTACAGTCCAGGAACGGAGAACCCTGGGACCATCAATGCAGAAGAGCGGGAGTGGAGTGTGGGACCTATTCAGAGAAGCTGCAACGCTAGAGATGAAGACAGAGGTGATGATGTGGAGAGATGGAGCAGCTGAGGACTCTAGACTCATGGAGGGAGAGACCCTGTGTGCTGGCTGCTGGGGGCAGGGGGGTGTTTGAATGATTGTATATTCCTGAGTGCTTTGGTGTACATCCCCCCAAAAAAAACAACCCAGAGGGAATAGAAGCAAATACTGTTGAATGATGATGCATGGAGGGGATTGTAATCATTGCAATGAGGCGAAATATTCTAGGATGAGTGTAAAGCTGATGTTCTCCCATGTAAACTATCACTCAATTCACAATTAAAAAAAAAAAAAGTTCATGAAGCAGCTCAAATGAACTGGTGGATGGATAAGCCACAACATGGTTTGTCTTTTCAGTGAAGTCTTACCGAGTGATAAAAGGGAACACTGATGATTCACCCAACATATACACATATCTCAATGATATTTTGCAGACTGCAGGAAACCAGACACAAAAGGAACTTCATATAAGTGAAGTTTGTGCAGAGGAAAGCAGATCTGTAGAGCTCAGAAGCAGATCGGTGGGTCCCTGGGGTGGGATACAGGGAAAATGACTTCAGAGGAGCAAAGTGGAACTTTCTGAGGCCAAGGGAATATACATCTTTTTTTTTTTCATATGTGTCATTGATTTGATTTTATTCTTGGTGGTGAAAACATATACCAGTTCAACAACTTCTGTATTTGCAGTTTAGTGACTGATGACCTTCTTCAGATTGTCCAACCATCTCACCCTCCCTTTCTGAATTGGTCCCCCCCCCCCATATAAACTAAGTTTCCTATCGAGCCTTTTGAGTTTCTGTTGCCCTTTTGATCCCAAGTAGACAGTTCTTGAAAGAACCCAATGTTCAAGGCAGACATTGTTCACTAGTTAAGCTAAACTATTGTTTGGTTTTAAGAAGTCTTTAGGGGTTATTTTTGGTTTAAGATTTAAAAATGATCTCAGGGCAGTAGTTTTGGAGGTTCATCCAGCTTCCATGACTCCAGAAAGCCTGGAATTCATGAGAATTTGAAATTCTGTTCTACATTTTCTCCTTTTTGATCAAATTGTTCAGTAATGGTCACTAGGCACCATCCAGTTCATCTGGTCTTATGGTAAAGGGAGCAGCTGTTCATAGAGGCAATTAGAAACATACTACATCTTAGTTGGAGTGAAGCTCACACACATTTGACCATACATTTTAAAACAGGTGTCTTTTAGTGTGTGTAAAAATACATCAATAACATAGCCTGAAAATTTATTTCTGATTTATTGTTGTATGTAATTTCTCTTTTTCCAATCAGAATGAACCTTAACGTTTTCCCAAGATTGTTCAGGCCTTGTGGAAGTTCTATGTGGTTATTGTTTTTGTTATTTACTGTTGAGTTGGTTCCAACTCATAGCGACCCCATATAGCCTTTCCAAGGAGCTGCTGATGGGTTTGAACCGCTGACCTGTGGTTAACACTCCAGTGCTTATCCTACACTGCCACACCAGGACTCCAGGTCTGTTGTTGTTGTTAAGTGCCATCGACAAACCATATTGCACTTTCCTGACTTCCAGGTTGGGCCTCTACGACATGACCCAGTCCTCCATGACACTGGTGGCTCAGCATGGGTCTGATGAGCACCAGGTCGTGGTCTGTACCAAGCTGGTGGAACCATTCCAAGCCCAGTTGGGTGCCCTGTACGTTGTCCTTGGGGAGCTCGAACACCAGGAAGGTAAGCTGGGGTTTACATTCCCTTTCTCCCCTTGAGTTCTGTGTGGGGACAATCTTTTGGGGGACTTGGTTAGGAAGGGCCTGACTTGCAGCACCTCTTTGAGCCACACGTTCATGAGTTCATAGGAAACAGTGAGGACTCAGATGGGAACTGTCATGTGGCACCATGTCCAGGAGGGAAGGTCAGTGAAAAGATGGTCTCCAGGGAGAGTAAGAAAAGGGGAGAAAAACCAATGTTTCTGAAGATCTACAACGTGGCAGGCCTGGTGCTAGGTGGCTCACTCCATCTTCTTGAGTCTGTGTGGTGTTGTTGCTTCTGGCTCGTAACAACCCTGTTTCCAAGGAGCAGCTGGTGGGTGTGAACCACTGACCTTGTGCCTAGCAGTCCAGTGCTCCTTCTACAGTGCCACACCAAGAATCCTGAATTCGCAAAGTAGCCCTAATCTGAGTCTTACTATTACTGCTTTAGAGATGAAGAAACCAAGACTCAGATAGGATGGGACTTTTACAGCCAGCAAGGGGTAAAAAAGTTTTAAAAAGAAGATTTAAAGTGCTTCAGTTAACATTCTTTTTTTTCAAAAGCTTTTTATTATTAATTGAGTGAAGGTTCATAGAGCTGATCATCAGTTTTACATTCAATAAATCATCTACTTTGCTTCATTGTTGTTGTTGTTGTTAAGTGCCGTTGAGTTGGTTCCGACCCCCAGCGACCCTGTATAGGGTTTCCAAGCAGCAGCTGGTAAGCTTGAACCACCGACCTTGCAGTTCAGATGGCTTTGCAATCTGGCGCATTAACCCACAGAGCCACAGTTGCAATCTCCTCCATGTACCAACAGTTAACAGTATATTGCTTGCCCTGTCACCCATGTTAACATGTGTTACCAGTAACTCTTCAGAAACCCTACACAGGATTGCTATGAGTCAGAACTGACTCAGTGGCACTGAACAATAACAACCCTCTAGCTCATGAATCATTTCCCCTCCCCGATGCCCTCCCAACCATCATAGTTTGTTTCTTCTATCAAGAAAACTTTTTAAAAAAACTTTTTATAGCTTTGGTCTCATACATTGCTTGATCTTTTGTGATTGACTAATTTTACACAGCTCAGTGTCCTCCAGGTTCATCCATGTTGTGAGGTGTTTTGCAGATTCATCTTTATTCTTCCGTGTTAGGTAGTGTTCCATTGTGCATATGTTCCAAGTTTGTTTTACCATTCTTCTGTTGATGGGCATCTAGGCTGTCTCCATCTTTTTGATGTCTCTTGTAGACAGCATATTGAAGGATCCTGTTTTCTTATGCATTCTACTCTTTAGGTCTCTTGACTGGTTCATTTAATTTACATTCAGTGTAATTACCAATAGGTATAAATTAATTGCTGTCATTTTTCTGGGTGTGTTTTTGTTCCAGGTGGTGCTGGATTCTTTGTTCCACATAATTTTCTATGTTGGGTTCATTTTGTTTCTGGGTGTTTCTTGTCTTTTCCTTTCTATTGTGTTAATGTTTACTAAGAAGAAGAAAATCAGTTAACATTCTTGTTCACTAACCTTGGACCACTTTCTGATTATTTCCTTAGGCTAGTTTTCTAAACGTGCAATTGCTAGATTAAAAGATACAGATACACGGAGCTCATACACATCTGTATGTGTGCGAATGCCACAAAAAAATCAGCCTTCTGGATTTACACAACAACTTGCTTTAAGTAATGAAGTGGTGGTTGTGTGCCATCGAGTCAGTCCGAGTGGTGGTGGTGGTGGTTGTACCATCAAGTCAGTGCCGACTCCTAGCGACCCTGTACATGGTTTCCGAGGCTGTCAGTCTTTACTGGAGCAGAAAGCCTCATCATTCTCCTGAGGAGTAGCTTGTGGCTTCAAACTGCTGACTTGTGTTAGCAGCCCAACATGTAACCTCCTACGCCACCGGGGCTCCTTCAATTAAGTGGTACTTACTTTAATTAAATTTTATTTAATCAAAGTTAATCTTTATTCCGGTTTAAGCCTTTATGCCCACAAAGTCCCTGCCCTCTTAATTGATTTTGAACAGGTGGAAGGGTAAGAATGAGTACAAAGGGCCTTTGCATAAATGACTCCACCGTAGGCCAACATCAACTGTGGCCCTCCCCTCCCCGCCTCTACTGGAAGGCCTGCGAGCCTTGGAGCCAACTGTCCTAAGTCTCTGTATTTAAGTCCAAATACAAAAACTGGGAGAGGTTGGATATAAGGTAGGAGAGCAGGTGATGGGCAGGGTCTGAAGTGGACAGTTGGGGCTATTTACGGAAAGAAAAGTGGGAAAAACTTTAAAGTATAAACTCAACCAAAAATAAATGTTTTTAAAAATGTAAAGTTTTCATCTCAGACATCCACAAAAGTAAAGAGAGAGATGCAGTGGTGGTTATGTGCCATGGAGTTGGTTCCAAGTCATAGAGATGCTGTGTAGGGTTTCTGAGGCTGTATATCTTTAAGGGAGCACAAAGCCTCATCTTTCTCCTGTGGAATGGCTGGTAGTTTCAAACTGCTGACTTTAAGATTGGCAGCCCCACTACGCTACCAGAGCTCCCTAGAAAATGATGTCAGGATTTGCTCATCACCAATGATCAATGTTGCTATTGTGAAGTGCCTTGGAGTCAGTTCCAACGCATAGCGACCCTGCATAGGGTTTCTGAGGAGTTAACAGTCCTGTGCTTATTCTCCGATACCACACCAGGAGTCCAAATCCAGGCTCGGCAGTGACCTTCACTTATTTATTTATATATTTTACTGGTGCATTTTCAAGGAAATCTAAGACATCATTTCATTTCACCCGTAAAAACCTTCATATGTAACACAACTCCACTGCCATTAGCACCTCAAGTGCTCAAAACTCATAATCTAATACCTAGTTGACGTTCAGTTTCCCTCCATTGCCACAAAAAAAAAGAAAGAAAAGGAAAGGAAAGACAGGTGATCTGTGCGTTGTGTTTGGTTTACCATATTTTATGCAGATACTACGTGCATTATATAGGAGTTTGTGCCCTGTGAGTGCTACTCATGTTTTTTTGTGTGCACGCATTTATGTGGGTGTTTTTATATGTGGTAAATATGGTACATAGTTCTCAAATTTGGTTATTTCTAACAGTTCTGCCTTCCTTTTTTCTTTGCCTTTGTTGTTGTTGTTGTTGAGTGCCGTCGACTCGGTTCTGACCCATAGCGACCCTGTACAGCGTTTCCGAGAGTGTAAATCTTTACGGGAGTAGAAAGCCTCATCTTTCTCCCACGGAGTGCACTGGTAGTTTCGAACCGCTGACCTTAAGGTTCGCAGCCTGATTCGTAACCACTACACTACCAGAGCTCCATTTATTTGTTGGGGAACTGATCGAATTTACTGGATCATGGAATTGGCTGATTGTTTTTTCCTGGTCCCATTACACTTGCTCTTCTTTCTCTTAATTTCCACCCCCCATCCTGCCTCATTTATTGTTGTTACGTGCTAGTAAGTCTGTTCTGACTCATAGTGACCCTGCATAGGGTTTCCAAGGCTGTAAGACTTTGTGGGAGCAGAAAGTCTTGTCTTTCTTCTGTGGAGCGGCTGGTGGGCTCAAACCGCTGACCTGTGGTTCATGTCCAGTGCTCATCCTGTAGAGCCTCCCGTCTTGGTGCTTTGGCATTCATGAATTTTGTTGTTAGCTGCCCTCGGTTGGCCCGACTCCTAGTGACCTTTGCACAATGGAACTAGATGTTCCCTGGATCTGGAAAATCATCATGACAAAACTGTACCATTGTGAATCTGCGGCATTTCATTTCTTCTTAAAAGAATACAAGGGGGCTTCAGAAAGTTCATGGAAAAATGGAATTAAAATATATTGTTGTTGTTGTGCAGTACCACCGACCTTGCGGTTCAAACTGACCTTACGGTCCAGCACAGTAACCCACAGTGCCACCCCCACCCCAGGACACCGCAATGAAAAGATACAGAAGGTTTTTTCCATGAACTATTTGATGCCTCCTCCGTTTTCGGTGAAAGTTTACATTTCCCTTGAGTTAATTTCACCTTTCTTGTATGGGCTGTATGTCAGCAAAGCCAAATTGTTGGTGAGGGGTAGTTCCTTCTAGAAAAATCACAGTGACTCCATCAGGAGAAATGATTAAGTTAGAACATTGCCTCTGTAGACGTACTTGTGACGTCAGAAGCTCAGGTGAGGATCTTCAATGGCACTGAAATCATTGGGAATGTGGACAGGAGAGGTTAGACCACCCCCTGACCTGCCCTGTTGCTCATTCCCAAAATCACAAAAAGTGGGCAGTATGCACCCCTGCTTTGACACCCCCAAAGTGCCTGGAACATCCTCTAGAATGTTTTCTTGACATTCCCCCCAAGCCTCCTTAAAAAAAAAAATTGAACCTGAACGTTATTGAACCTCAGGTCAATCAGCATTCTTAATATGCCTTGCAATTGATATATTTCTTTCTTAAACATTTTCCCCTTGATTTTCTGAGTAATCGTGTTCCTCATTCACCATCCAGCCTGCACTGGGACTGAAGATGGTGAGGGGGAAGGCAGAGTGTGGGCTCTGGGAGGAAGTGCCAGGTGTGGGGGTAGGGAGTGCTGCCTTGGAGTTTCTCATCTGCATATCTGGCCCCAAGTCCTGTGGGATGCTAAGGTCTATGAGACATGGATTCTGGACAGTTCTGAGGACAGAGGAGAAGCCCCCTTTTAGAGAGTTTTACACTTGGAGCTGGCTGAGGCTTGAGAGGTGGGGGCTGAGGCTGCTAGCCTGTGGCCCCTTCATCCACCCAAGAGCTCGGGCACTTCCCGTCCAGGGACAATGGCTGTGGGCATAGCCCTTCCCCAGCTCTGCACCCAGTCCTGTCACACACACCATGAACCCCCCTCATGTTCATCTCCTTCCACCTGACCCAGGTTTCCTGCCTTCTCCCTGGGTCCTTTGGAACCTTTGCTCTGATATCTTCAAGCCTCCTTATTATGTTCTCGCCTTCTCTGGAATGTTCCTGAAACCTGGCTTTCCC